CCCCAAATCTCCCTGTATTTCTATCCTGTCTCAATGCTTATTTTGCTCTTAAGAACATGTTTGTCAGTCTGTGCCTCACAAGATGGGGCCAGACAGGTGGTGTTTACACACAGCACCCTGCGATCATCCCGCCTCTGCTCGCATACTAAAGTGGAGCCAAATACCCCTCCATAGAATGAAGCCACCTGTGGCAAGGCAAGGCCCAAAAGCCCTATTTTAGAGTATTTACTTACAGTGATCTCAACAGGCACCAGTCTCTGCCTCCTACCCTTCTCATGTGGGTGACAAAGACTGACTCCGGCATTGTGGTGGAGAGGCCACCAAACCACACAACGTGTGGTAAAGAGGGATTTTATTCAGGAACCACTACCATACCAGGAAAAGCACCACAACATAGAAGCAAATTCATCACGGATCACAGGCAGTTTATACACACAGCAAGTGGCTTCTGTACACAGAAAAACCACTAAAAAAAAAAAAAAATATCCAGGATCGTGAGGAGTCTAGCTCAGCCAACCTGACCAGATTCTTTCGGAAGGCAGACCTGGGTGATGAGACATTACCTGAAAGTCCATAGCGGGAGAAGAGCCAGATTAGATACCCAGGGCAGTCAGACTCAAAGGGCGGGACATCTGTAGCACAACTTAATAGGATTCTTGCTGAAACTGGACTGGGCAGGTCTGGTCTGGCAAAAAAAAAAAAAAAAAAAAAAAAAAAAAAACAAAACCAGAAAGTCGAAAGTAGGACTCAGAGGATCTAAAATAAAATCTGGTTAAGAAGAGAGTCTTGTTTTAAGCAGGTATGGTGGGACAGGCAAGTAGTCCCGGTTCTGGGAGTTGAAGGCAGGAAAATCAAAAGTTCAAAGCTGGCCTCGACTACAGAGTGAGTCAGGAGGCCAACCTATCTCTAAACAAATAAATAAAATTAAAGTTTTTGTCACTTACCAAGTATCTTAGTCTTCCATTGTTATTTTTCAGAAAATATTATCCATAGTTATAAACTGCTAGTATAGTACAAAGGAAAAAAAATGAGTTTTTTATATCAACTCAGGAGGTTCTCAGTTAGAATGAACCCCATATCACAAAAGGTGGGTGATCGACAAACATCTTATTAATGTGTATAGTTCATGTATATAGGAGGCTCCTGAGAAATGAGGTAGGTCAGAATTGCAGTTTATAGACTGCTTTCAACAGTGAAACATAAGGTTTTAAAGAAAGAAATTTCCCCTAGACCTGTTGTGATTACAGAAGAAACTCAGCAGTGAAAGGGAGACCCCAGTGCTTTCCACAGAGATGTTCGAGACATTTGGTCCCAGGGATTCATGGGATATCAGCAAGACCTTGAGCAACAGGAGCTTGAAGTAGTACTAAAATGTTTTTACAACACTCATAAATGGCCCTAAAATGTTTCCTTGAGAAACAGAGAGATGGGCTGGAGAGATGACTCTGCAATTACAGGCACTAGCTAATCTTCCAGAGGACCCAGGTTCAAGTCCCAGCACCCACATGGTGGCTCACAACAATTTTAACTCCAGTTTCAGGGGATGCAACTCCCTTTTCTAGCCTCTATCTGCATATGGTGCATAGACAGACAGATATGCAGGCAAAACACCCATACACTTTAAAAAGAAGCAGGAAGAAGAGGAGGAGGAGGAAACAATGAGGCAATGCAAACCCATTCCAGAGAGGCCAGCAAGAGGCCAGCCTCTGGTCTGGAGCAATGGGAAGTGAGAAAACAAGTGCCCTCTGTTCTAAGTGTAGAACAAGAAGATGTGCTGTGACCGGTATGTCCCTGCAACAGTATACATACATAGACCCTGTTATCAATCCTATACTCGGGGTCTTGTGAGTTTTAATTCAGTGTTACCCACATAGCATGATAGAGTGTAACATGAGGGCCAGGCTCATTGGGGTTTCTGTCCCGCCCGTCCCCTAGCCGTTTAGGCCTAAAGAAAATCACACAGAGATCTCCATAAGTTATAAAACTGATTGGCCCATTAGCTCAGGCTATTTATTAGCTCTTATAGCTTATATTAACCCATTATTATTATCTATGTTAGCCACATGGCTCAGTACCTTTCTCAGCGGGCCAGCTCACATATTGCCTCTTCGGTGATCTGGGCAGAAATGAAGGAATGGGCTTTCTCCTTCCTAGAATTCTCCTGTTCTCATCGTCCCACCTCTACTTCCTGTCTGGTTGACCCGCCTATACTTCCTGCTTAGCCAATCAGCATTTATTTAAAACATGATTGACAGAATACAGACAATTCTCCCGCACCAATAGAGAGGCAGGAAAATTATGGGAACATGAAGGGGGAAGTGGGGTAAGGAAGGAATGGGTGGACACAGCCTCTCTCTGCCTGAAGCCACTGCTTCTTCTAGTAATTAGGACCATTTTCCAGACAAGTCACCATAGGGACCCATTACTTCTTGTCTCCCCTACATTTCAAGGAACCCTAATCCATTAGATGTGCTTGGATTTGTATGACACACTATTTTTCCTGTCTGAATCCCTCCTTGGGGAAACTATCCTTATTCATGCAGCCATTGTGGTGCAGGCATTTGACCTGCAGGGTGTGGTCATCTGACCTGGGCCATGCAATCCAGGACTGGCCTGGCAGAAATGTCTGTCTTCTAAGGCCACAGTGCTGGAAGCTTGGAACACTTCTAAGAACATGCCACAATCCTCCCCAACTTCTTTGCTAAAAGATTGTGAGCTGGGTATAATTATCATTTAAAATTGAGCTTTTCAATGACATCTTTTCTAACACATAAAAGTGACTCTCTGAAATGAAAGCTAAAGGCAACGATAAAAGTAGCAACAAAGAACGCCAGTTGTGGCGGCTCTTCAGTATAATACCAGCACTCAGAAGGTAGAAGCAGACCGATTTCAGAGTTTGAGGCCAGTCTGGTCTATGTAGTGAGTTCAGGATAGCCAGGGCTGTGGAGAGAGACCCCTGTGTCTGAAAAAAATAAATAAATATCAACAGAGAGGGAAATATCCATTATGACATTGATAAAAAAAAAAACATACTATAATATCCACCTCTGAGAAGTCCAGGCACAAGGGTCAGAAGTTCAAGGTCATCCTCTACTACATAGTATATTTGAAGCCACCTTTGGCTAAGATCAATGATGCTCTTCTTATACATGTTGCTTCTATCGGTTAATGAATAAAGAAGCTGCTTAGGCCCATGACAGGGCAGAACAGAGCTAGGTGGGGAAACTAAGCTGAATGCTCAGAGAAAGAAGGCAGAGTCAGAGAGAAGCCTTGTAACTGCAGCAGGAGACAGATACTGAATGTTGGATGGAACCTTACTGGTAGGCCACAACCATGTGTTGATACACAGATTAATAGGAATGGGCTAATTTAAGATATAAGAGCTATTTAGCAATACACTTAAGCTATTGGTCAAGCAGTGTTTTAACTAATACAGTTTCTGTGTAATTATTTCCAGTCTGAGCAGGCGGGAACGAATGAGCAGCCTCCAACTATAAATTGGTGCCCAACGTGGCACCAATTAAATCCACTTACAACCTGAGAGAGCTTAGAAAGAAATTTTAGACACAAAAGAACAGAGTTAAGCATTTTTTTTTTTTTGGATGGGCTCTGTTTGCTTGCAGCAGGAGTGCCATGGCTCTTTTAAGAGTGGTGCAATAAAAACTCTGAAGTTTCTTTTAAAAAGGTGGCTTCCTGGTTCATGCTGCCAGCACAAACTTTGGCCCTTTCAAAAGGCCCAACACTTGAATGGGGTTCGTGAGCAGAGAGCTACAACTTGTTTAATGGCAACATAGAACCACTGTGTGCCTGAAAATAGAGCAATGTGCATGACTCTCAGAGGCAGCTAACAGCCTCCACCAACAGACCACGTTTCAAAACAAAAGCATAGAGCAAGTAATGCTTAAAACTAGAATTCAGGAAGTTTCTTTTATTGTATTCTGGCTTTTTGTAAAAGTATTGGATCATTTAACTTTTTACTCAAGCCAATTTGAATTGACTATGACTCCGGAGTGAAATCTTTGAACATTGTCCAAAGTCATAATTGTGTATTAGATTCACATTGCTTAAACAGGCCTCCTTGGCACCAAGAACATGCAGGGATATGGCTGTGCACCTGTTTCACTATTTCCAATGTATCCATGACATTCAAGAGTTGGTCTTCTGAGAGCATCACTTCTTTGGGGAGACAACACAGACTATCTCACTGGGTACCAATAAGCTGCAACCGGTTGTCAGTAATCCAGTTATCAATTGCTCTCTACAAAAGCTCATGAGCACACAGATTGCTTCTTAGACATATTCTGTATATACACACAATCTACGGGTTCACCTTTCATGGGCATGATTGTCAAATGTCAGGCCACCATGTTTTCCATGTGAAAAACCAGTTAATAGTCAGGGCTACAGTGTCCTAAGCTCACCATTCAAGGACTAGGATCCTTGAACTCATACATTTGGGCATGTCTGGCAGATGATCTGTGGAATCAACTCATGGGGAAAAAATGAGAAAATCAAGAGTCCTATAGATTTTCTGTGAGATGCTAAAGGACCCATACTCAGTCACGCCAGAGCCAGCAAGAGCCACCGAGAAGGATTAAGTCCCATGCTGGCAGTCTGCAGGCCTCTGCATGGCTAGCAGTGGTATGAGGGCAAAGAACTCTCTGAGAAATGGAAAAATAGGTGGGGCTCCTGACCCTACCTCAAGCTCCTCAACTATGAAATGCGTTCAGTCAACTCATTAGATCTGCAACAAGAATCCTTTTCTTCTTCCCTTCTCTATCTAGAGACCCAGAGCAGGAGAAGGAGGATGTACCTGTTCTTGGAACTGCATCATCTTTTCATGGAGGAAAGTCAGCTGATGGCAAAGCAGGTGTTAACAGCGATCATATCAGCACATAATTAAGTCAAGTCACCGTAGAACTTCCAAGACCAGTGTTTAGGGCTATAACAACCCATAACCCACTTTTAACAATAGAAAGTATAGACGTTTCTAGAAAGAATCAGAAGCTAGTCTTTATTTAAGCCACAGTGAAACACAAATACAGAGTCAACAGGACTTTCCACTGTGCCCAGCACAGGTGTGTTCTGTATGTGCCCACATTTTACGGAACGCATATGATTCTCGCTCTATTAATTTAAACAGTTTATTTTATTTAAAAAAGACCCTAATAGCAGATTTAAAAGTCTTAGTCATTGATTAAGCATAGAAGAGGCTACTTAAAGTGACTTCACACCACAAGAGGTACTGGCCAGCTCCTAGCAGGAGAGATGCTACCTAACTAAACTTTAGATACCCATGGTAAAGGCTGGCTGCTTCCAATGAGCCATTGCACATGCTATGTGAGTCCTCTGATCTTTGATTATGTGATTCCCTCTTCTGTTTGTCGCTGTGTCCTTCACTCTCTCTGGTACCCATTCACCTGATCTCTCAGCTCTCCATCCTTTTTAACTCTCTGTCCTTCCCCATCCTCCTGCCCCTCCACCCCACCACCCTCCTGACCCTTTATCTCCATATGCCCCTTTTCTGTACGTGACAGCCTACTGTTTTTAACCATCTGGGCAGACTCCTCTGCCCCTCTGCTTTTCCAATTAGAAGCCCCCTTTTGTTTCTTCATGCTAGTATTGGTTTTCAAGAGAGGACTTTGTACCCGCCCCTTTCCAAAGCTGCTTTTTACTGAAAACAGCCTACTCTTGTCAGGTCTCTTTTCATCTGAATGTTGTATATTGACGGTGACATCTTTTATCTGGATACCTTGTGTGAGCCTCTTTATTTTAGACTCATAGAGAGAGAATTCCAAATCCCACGACCTGTTGTACTTTATGGCTTCTATTTGTTCTTTAAAATACTTCAATTCCTGCCTTACAGAGGGAGCAATTCTGAAGTAGAACTTCAGCCCCAGGCTCAAAGTGCTGTCTGTTTTCAACATGTCAAACAAGAACTGTAGGCTGAGGGTCATCTCCTCAGAGCTTTCCTTCTCCACCAGCTTTGCCACCTCTCTGCGGGTTGCCTCCCCCAGCTGACTCTGGTCCTCCTTCACAAGGAAGGACATGGCATAGAAAAATTCCTGGAAGCTGACGTGGTGAAAGCTGTAGAGCTTCTTGACGCCAAGTCCCTCGCGGTAGTCAGTGCTGTTCAGGAAGGCGGTAAGGCTGGGGCCATCTAAGCTGTGTTTTCTGAGGACATCTTCTTCAAACAGCAGCCTCTGGTGCTGGATGCCCTCAGCTGCCAAGCTGCACAGACTCCTCAGGACCCGGTGCCGGATGAGCTCAGAGCTGTCCCCATTGCCATCAGTGGGCAGGAAGGTGGACACATAAGCAGTGAAGATATCTGTGCTATTGTTAGGTGTCTCTGAGACTTCCTGGCCTCCTGCCATCTTCCTCTCCAGCCAGGAGCAGACCACCCAGCAAATGCCCGGAACCTGGCATGCTTTGTAGAGAACATCATTGTTTCGCACAAACTCAAGGGCATTTCTCGCTTGCTCCTGATCCGTAAAATAGGAGTTGAAATAATTCTTCCTCTCCTCCTCAGAGAAGCCTAAGACATGGACATGTCGCCTTTCACCCAGCATGGGTTCCAGACTCTGCAAAGCCGGCGGCCGAGTGGTGACGAGGAGGGAGCATGGTACCTCCCTTCTCCTAATGAGAATGTGCAGTACACACTCCGCACGACTGGACTTCTGTAACTCGTCATAGCCATCCAGGACGAACAGGAGCCGCTCAGGTTGCCTCAGAATCTCCGAGACTGGGGCCTGATCATCTCCGCAACACCAGCAGATGAGGCTGGGCAGGTCACACTTGGGCAACAGGACCACTTCTCTGCAGCTCACATAGAAAACGTAATCGAAACGGCCTGGATACAGGGTCCCTTTGGCCCAGTCCTGCACCAGTTTTTTGGCCAGTGTTGTCTTCCCGGTGCCTGCAGATCCTTGCATCACGACTGTGGGCGGGGCTGAGTAGGACTCCGCCTCCGGAGCAAATAAAGCCTCCATCCTGATTGGATCCAACTCCTGTTGCAAGTCCGAACAGGAAGGTGATCCAGGACTCCCTGGACTGGACATGGCCACCAGGAGCAGCTCGTTGCGGCTGCAGTTAACACCCCAATCCGGCCTCTCCTCCAAGCAGCGCACGTGCTCTCTGTAGATTTTCCTGTAATCTGAGTAACACAAATGGGGTTTCGGGTGTCAGAATGGGAACAACAAAAGGCAAACCGACCCTTCAAACCCTGAGTTTGCTTTTTTTGTTTGTTTGTTTTTGATTGATTTTTCATTTTTTAAAATTTATTTATTTTACATACCAACCATAGTTTTCTCTCCCTCCTCTTCTCCCTTCCCCTCCCCTCACCTCCCTTCCATACCTCCCTGCATCCACTCCTCCTCCTGAGTTTGCTCTTTAGTCTCATCTCCTGCCCTCTCTAACTTGTGTTGCTTTGAAGTTTATAGCTGTGATTTCATGAAGTGAAACTACTCTGTGGGGGGGGGGGGGTACGTGGTATGTGTGTGATGTGTGTGGTGTGTGTGTGTGGTGTGTGTGGTGCATGTGTGGTGTGTGTGGCGTGTGTGTGGTATGTGTGGTGCGTGTGTGGTGTGTGTGGTGTGTATGTGTGATGTGTGTGTGGTGTGTGTGGTGTGTGATGTGTGTGTGTGGTGTATGTGTGTGATGTGTGTGTGTTGTGATGTGTGTAGGCATGTTTTGAAAGTGAGTATATTTGTATGTACACATGCTCATGAGACTGCTGACAGAGTGTGTGCGTTGTAGGGGAAGGGGTGTGTACACCTCAACATCAGTGTGTGTGCAATGTGCAAGTTCCTGAGAAATCCTGTGAAATTTCCTCCTGGGGCCAGGTGAGGACAGAGAGGGCAGAGAAGGGAAGCTGAAAGCTGGTGCAGGAGCCAAGTCTGTTCCTGGTAAAGGGTGGGTCAGAGCTTAATCCGACAGCTGAACAAAAGCAAGCAAACAAACAAAGGCACGGACTCTGCTACTGAACTGTTATGTCTGTGTTACAAGCCCCTTACTGGCTGATCTATCATCCCGGCTTGCCCACTCCCAGGTCTGCAGGGCAGAAGGTCTTAGGAATGAAAGGAACCTGGAAAAGATCACAGGTGCCAACAGAGCCCCTGCACCCCTGCCGCCACCCCCCCAAAAAAATAGACCAGGTAGCCATTTAGGCCCCACCACTGTCTAGGTTCACATGAGCCCACTGACTTCTCCATGAACAACAGTCTAGCTGTCTATGAAGTTGGGGAGGTGTGTGTGACCCCACACACTCTGAGGCTGTTGTTTCTGGTTAATGGAAGTCACTCCACCAACACTGTTCTCCATCCCCTCCCCTTCTCCAGCAATAGCAACTACAATTAGGAGATGAGGTACTTTAGCCATAAGACATCGTAAAGCCCTGCTTTCAGCTCAGGGACTGCACCCAACATTCTCCAGACCCCTTGTCTGGAGACCCTGAGACTCTGCAGATTCCCAATAAGGAGAGGGCAGTATAATGAAAGGTATAGATTACAGGCTATTAGCGTCTGTGGGGCCTGGGGGTGTCTCTGGTGCCACCTCCTCTCCCTCCCTCGGGCTGCACTCACCATTCAGACAAACCTGGCTGAGGTAGTCCACCAGTTCCATCAAGTTCATGGCCCTCAAGCTCCTGCTCACAACTCTCACGGCTTCCTGGGCTCCATACATTGAAACCAGTTTTGATGCTAGGTCCACCCGACTCAGACCCTCCAGTTCCCCTCGGGCCAGATGAAACTGGGTCATATCCCGTAAGTGGAACTTCAGCGTCTTGAAACTGCTCTCCTCGAGATCATTCAAGGCCCAGAGCAACGCCTCCCGGGGGCTGCTGGCTCGTGCCAAGGCCATGGTGGTCAGAGTTCAGCCAGCCACCTGGAAGTGAGAAGTAGTGAGACAAGGCTGAGTGGGAAGCAGCCTGGAGACTCCTCCTCCTCCACCTTGCCTGCTCGGTGCTTGGCAGTCTGTGGACCAGAGGCTTAGTGGAGACCAGGAATGCACAAAGCTCTGAGAAAGGCAAGTGGGTGATTGTCTGACTTCACAAGAAGAATTGTCTAATCATCCCTGTTCTATCAGATAGTAAGTATGACTGTGTGGGTAACTATCAAGAAGGTCCCCCTTCCTTCTGCCCTTCCTTCCTCTTCTTCCTCCTTTCCTTTCTTCCTCCCTTTCTTCCTACTTGTAGACATGTTTGTGTGTGACAGGGTCTCATGTTTTCCAGGTCAGCCTCAAACTCTTTTTGTAGCTGAAAATGACCTTGAACTTCTGATCCTCCTAGCTCTGCCTCCTAAGTACTGTGATTACTGTCATGCGGTACTATGCCTGGCTTTGTGGGATGCAGGGGATTGAGCCTAGGGGTTCATGTGTGTTAGGGAAGCACTCTCCCAACTAAGCAATATCCCCAGGCGCCCATCGGCACTCAGTGCCTCCTTAAATTATCATTAAAAAAAAGTTTGAGTTTTTTAATTTCAAAAATGAACGTCTTTGTGAGTGTTTCCAAAACATGTGTGTTATCTGCTGAGACCACAGAGACAGTAAACAGGAAATCTCCATCCTCAGTCCACGGCTTCGCACACCAGCATCATAAGCACAGCCACGCACGGGGTCCAAAATTGGTCTCCCGGTAAGGAGTCAAGTTCAAATAAGGCTAAGGGAACGGACACTATTAGTGCTAAACTTGAACTCAGCATCTGCTAAGGGAAGGAGAGCAACAGTGACTAAGAGGGGACTTCCGAATCCAGGAGACACCTGTTGTCCAGCGTCATGAGGAGGCCATTGTGGAAGTGTGATGCAGTGCTCAAAAAAACCTTTCTGTGATGGTCTTGCTGCAACTCGAATATCAGTATTTTGACTGAATACCAGGGAAAGGAATAAACCTCTCAGCAACATATTAGGACACAGGAACACCGGGGATTCCCTACAAAGCTCCCGTTCTGGAGAAACACATTCCAGAACAAGAAGACAAAAACAGAGCCCTGGACCAATCAAGCTCAGGCTTGAGGAGCTGGAGGTGGGAGAATGACTCAGCTCCTTGGGGCAAGAGGACAAAAAGCTAGCTGTCCAGGAGAGCTGCAACAGGTTCATGTTCAGCTCTGCAGGCCAAGCCCGGGACCTCTTACCCAAAATCCACCAGTTAATGATTATCTGGTAAGGTCAGAATTCTAAGCAGAGTTGTGAATTCTCTGACATGTACTGTCTGTCTATGGGCACAATGTGGGGGGGGGGGGGGATGGGACTGGAACCCATGAAGGACCTCAGTGAGCAGGGAAGCAAAGATCTGATGCCTCCACATCAGGTCTGTCAGCTGGCATGAGCAATTGTTCGCCAGAAGAGAATTTGACCCCTTAAGAGGCAGAGGCAGGCAGATCTCTGAGTTCGAGGCCAACCTGGTATGCAGAGTGAGTTCCAGGACAGCCAGGACTACACAGAAAAAAACCCTACTGTAAAAAAAAGAAAGAAAGAAAAAGAAAAAGGAAAAGATACTTGACCTCATTTGCAAACATTAAACTTGGGAAACAAGGAAGGGAGCAAAGGCATGACCAAAAGGAAGACAGAACCGAAGATGGTCCACAGCCCTCCCTGGAAACATTTGTCCTCTCGACAACATGACCCCAGGCCAGAATGAGGTTGACAAAGGAAGTGGAGCACTGTCCCCACACCCTCTGCCACTGTACCATTTCTCCAGACTGGGGAAGCCACTGCAGGGTAGTGGAAGAATGAAAAAGGAAGAAAACAGGAGCTGTGAGACAGAGGTACAGACACATTCCTAAACCCATTCCTAAACCCATTCTTAAACCCATTCCTAAACCCGTTCTTAAACCCATTCCTAAATGCGCCTAAAAGGCAGCTGGCCAGCTGGTCAAGAGAGTAGGGACACCATCCTCTCCCTAAATGTGGAACAGTTTCTCTGAAAAGATTGCTTTCAAGATGAAAAGAGCAACAGATTGATAGTTTAACTGATGCCTTTGTCTTCCTGAAAAAGCTATGGAGAGACAACCAAAAGTACAGACAACAATAAGTTACCAAAAAGCTAGGAAAGAAAGTAAAATAAATATTTTAGGAGCAACAAAAGAAAAAGACATAAAACATAGCAAGCTAAAGCACTCAGGTGAACAATGTTTGCATCCAAATAATAGAATAGCCACTGGGTGACTATGATCTCTATTGTAACTATAATGAGAGGACCATAGACAAGAGGCTGGAAAGATGACTCCATAGCCAGGAGCTCTGGCTGCTCCTCCAGAGGACCTGGGTTTGATTGGTGGCACTACACGGCAACTCACAACCATCTACAACTCCAGTCACAGGGGGTCCAATATCCTTTTCTGAGCTCTGAGGGCATTGGGCATGCACCTGATGCATAGATATGCATGCAGGCAAAACACCTATACATACGCATAAAGTCATTTTTTAACATTAGAAAGGATGGTAATGGAATGATTAGGGTAAAAGGCCAATGGGTGACACCTAAAACCTTGAGTCAAAAAGCAGCTGTGTGTGTGTGTACTGTTTAGAAGGACAAAGAAGCAGTGGGGTTAGAGAGACGGTTCTGTGTATAATGACACTGTCTATGTAAGCATGGCACCTGCGAAGCAAGCCTGAGGATTTGAATTCATATCCCAGCACCCATGTAAAACCACTGAGGGTGGGTGCATGAGAATGACTGAGGTATGCTGCCCCCTAACCTAGATCCAAGCTCAATGAAAGTTCCTGTCTCAAACAAACAAGGTAGAGAGTTATAGTCCAGAATACCTGGCATCCTCTGACCTGTGCACACACAGAGTACCTACAGTCACACACATATGCATATGCGACAAACACATAATATGTCTGTCTGCCTCTCTCTCTCTCTCTCTCTCTCTCTCTCTCTCTCGTATGTGTGTGTATGTGTGTCTGTGTGTGTGTGTGTGCGCGCGTGCGTGTGTACAAAGGCATAAGACAGTTAAAAATTTAAAATAGTTGCCTTGGGGAAAAAGGATGGTCATGGTGAGAAAAATGAAAACTGAAGGCACAGACTTTGTAATGAATTGAATTTCTGATACACACACACATGTATCACTGAGATGAAACAATAGGTCATAGATCATCTTGGGAAAAAGATAGGTGGCAAAGAAGTGGAGGTAACATGTGTAGTCTTTCAAGAAGCTTCTCCATGAAAGGACTCTGCGAAGTGATGGGGAAATGCTAGGCCAAGGAAAGGTCTTTGTTCTCAGGCAGAAAAGGGATATTTTTAAATGCCAACGAAAAGCATCCAAAAGAGAGATCAGGCTAGACATCTCAAATAGGTGGGAGGGGGAATTGAGATTGGGACTGACTTAGGACCCTAAACAGAGGGAAAGCCGAGGGTGGCTTCGGTGAGAAAGGCTCTTGGAAGGAGAGACACTGTGTGGGTCTCATGGTCAGAAGATGAGTGTGAGCATGTCTAACAGAAACTATATTCTATATGATGTACGGCTTACAGGATCTCCAAAGAGCTTGAAGGCAGCGGTGGTAGGGGATGGGAAAGCCAGGGGGTGAAGGAAGCCAGCCCTCTCACCTGTGCGCCTTGATCCCTTCTCCAAACCCCAACTGTAGTGCTCTGTGAGCACTCCCTGGAGTTCAGAGGAAAAGGCAGGAATGGGAACTGACTTGCCCAAAGCCTTAGCCAAGATCAGGCTAGAAACAGAAACCAGAGCACCAGAGATTAAGCAAGAAGCCAAGATGAGAAAATAAAAGAATGAGACATGACTGCATAAGTAGGATGCCAGAGAGCAGAGGCCACTTACTGCACCAACGCCAGCTCTCAAGGTCTAAGTCACTGGGCCAGACTCTCAGCAACACCTAAGTATTTATAGAAACAGGAACTGAGTTTAATTGGAGGGGCGGAGGCAAGAGATGAAATGGTGTTAACCCTGTCCTGGCTAGAGGTAGAGATGACAGCTAGAGAAACCGAGTCCACAAAAAGAGAGAAGATTAAAATGGGGAAGGCAGGACCAAGGGTAGAAACAGATAGAAAAAGTGGAAAAGAGGAGATAAAGCAAAGACATACAACACACAAACAGAGAAGAATAAAACAGAGAGGAGAGAGACAAGAGCAGGGAGCTGGCTAGAGCGAGCATGCGCACGTGTGTGTGTGTGTGTGTGTGTGTGTGTGTGTGTGTGTGTGTGTTGTAACGCTCCTTTCAATCCCTGAAATAGGCTAGGTAAACAGCCTATAGGCCCACCTTCATATGATTCCCTGGTAGAGATATTCCTGTTTGTTTCACTTTGTTTTGTTTTGTTTTTTTTTAGGTATGACTTCTCAGATGTGTTCCCCCGGGAACTAGAAAGTGACATGCGGTGGTTAATTTTGTGTGCCCCAACCTTTGGTCAACACATCACAGAGAGTTTCTATGATCCTGTATTTAGGATGTGACTGACATTTGAATCGATAACTGACTAAAGCCAACTGTGCTCCCCATTGTGGGTGTCACTCATCCCATCAAATGAAGAGAGA